ATGACAAAACTTTCTTTTTACTAATAATATTGTAACATAATGTTGTAATAAACTAACACATTATGGCCATAAAAATAATAAAAGAACACGTAAAATACCTAACCTCCAGAACATCTCAACAAAAATACACTTAAATATTTAAAATAAACTCAGTGATGTCGAATAAGATAATCAAAATGATTATGTTAATAAATTCATGTTAATTAAATTTACGTACGTATGGGAATAACTTAATTTAAAACCATTTGAAATCTATTTTTATACGAAATGAAAAGATGGACGTATATCAAACTATGTACTATTTGATATAAATTATTAATAACAATTTTCCTTTCTTCATTCCAACAAGGTCAGGTTAATTTTAAAACTCTTGTATACTTGTTAACTTTCACAATACACTAAGGTGAATTTTAAAAAAAATTTGCTTTCATGTTTATTTTAACCAAGGGTCTCGTTCTTTGAAATTAATAAAACAAATCCTCTTTACTTTCTACTTTATTCGTTCTTTTTAAAAAAGTACCCTTTCAAAGGTTGACCCCCACGAAAGGTAAACTTCATTTTATTTTTAGTTAGAGAGAAGTAACAAAATGTAGTGTATTTTTGCATTTTACTGTTCATAAGAAAAGAAAAAAACACCAATTAGGACAAAAATAATTTTGTGCGATAAAAAAAGGTTTATAAGGTTGGGAGAAATAATTAAAATTGTACATAATCACTCCCAAATTGCAATATTAAACCAATATTCCCGGATTTGGCTTTCGCGTCTTTGATTGAGTAGTTTTGCTATTACAAAAGTCCCAAAGCTTATGGGTTGAAAACAATTTGTTTGCGTGAAAATATAAAAAGCAATTTAGCGAGTAAATGATTCATTTTCTTAAATTTTCTCTTAACTGCTGGGATCCTGGCTAATACAGTGAATAGACCTTGGTTGAAAACGACGTCACAAACAACGTAGATGGGGTTTTGCATAATCTCGAACTCAACATACGTTTTTAGGATGGCCCGAATCCGATTTAAGCCCGAGACGAGTATCTTATTGAGGTAAGCCCTGGTAACAGATGCGAGGACTGTATAGAAATAACAGGCTATTCCCCAGTCTGTGGTTCTGCCTCTTTTTGAACAAGCATGTTTGAACCAATCATTGCTTAGCCTTGATGTAGTCGCATGAGACAAATCAAATGAGATTGAAGAAAGTTAAACGAAAAATTCAAGAGGCAATTTATTGAAGAAAATATTTCGAATTCGTTGCAAAACCATTCAAAATTAAAATAGTTTATTTAAATATGTGCATTAATTTAAGTATGATAAAAAAATATTGCAGTAGTAATAGTATGCAATTGATAATGTAATATTCTCACAATTTATTTTATATGGAAGTGTTCTTATCGAACAAAGTGATTTATAAATACTACTTGTAGACACGATAAGAAGTTATCTGCATTGGACTATAAGTTATTACTTTACGGAATTTAAGTTAAACTTTCTTTCTTGTTTAAAAATAATTAACGCTTGGAGTTGATGCACACTTGCATCAGCTTCTTTTTTGTTATCAAGTTCTAAACTATATTAAACTACTTTCTTTGTTAAAGTATAGTACTATCATAATCAATTATCTAACTTGTGTTGCAAGACTATTCCAAATATCCTTTATATTCTAAAACGTCATTTGTAATTATATGCACTCTTTTTTTTTAAATTTACAGTGCCTTACAACTACTTTTAATTAAACAACAATTAGCAATAATGTAATAGATATGTACACAAACAAAACAAGAGTGGAGAAACTGCCCATTAGCAGTAGTCCAATATACGTACTCATTTCACTCTCACTCAACTCTCTCTCCTTCTCTTATTCTTCCATTGTTTTTTCTCATTTTTCTTTTTCATAATTAAACTTTTGTTTATCTCGATATCACTTTCTTTCGCTCGTTCTATTTGTTCTCTTGTTCTATTTATTCATTCTCCACTCCCCCTCTTTTTCTCTCTCTCTCGTACTTCCATTCTTTTTTTTCATTTTTCTTTTTTCATAATTAATGTGTTCTTGAACTCAACATCTTTTTTTTTCGCTCGTTCTATTTTTCTATATTTTCATATTTTCTTTTCTCTCTCTCTCTCTTTCTCTCTCTCGTTCTCCCATTATTTTTTCTCATTTTCCTTTTTCATAAAGGAACTTTTGTTTATCTCGATATCATTTTCTTTCGCTCGTTTTATTTGTTCTCTTGTTCTATCTATTCATATTTTCATTCTCCTACTTCCTCTCTCACTCCCTCCTCTCTTTCTCTCTATCACACACTCATTCACTCACTTACTCACTTTCACTCTCTCTCACTCACTATCTTTTCTTCTCCCATTATTTTTATTTTATTTTTCCTTTTTCATAATTAATGTTTTCTTTAACTTGATATCTTTTTTCTTACTGTTTCTATTTGTTCTATTGTTTATGAATACATATTTTCATTTTCCCCTCCCTCGCTCTCTCCCTTTCTCTGTCCCTCTCACTCTCTCTCCTTCTTTCTCTTATCGTTCCATTCACTTTTCATTTATCCCTTATCAAAAATTAATATTTTCTTTAACTTTGTATGGTTTTCTCTCTCTTGTTCTATTAGTTCTATTTTCTAACTCTTTATATTTTTGTTTTCCCTCTCTCCCTCTCTTTTCATGTTCCAATACTTTTTCTCATTCATCCCTTGTCATAATCTTGATACTTTTTTCACGTTAGCTTATTTTTTGTATTGTTCGTTCTATCTAGTCATTTTTTCATTCTGCTGTTTACACACGCGCGCACACACACACACACACACACACACACACACACACACACACACACACACGCACGAGCACACACACACACACGTACGCACGCATACACACACACACCCTCTCTTTGAATACATATATATATCCTTCTCTCTCTCTCTCTCTCTCTCTCTCTTTCACTCCATCACTCACTCTCTCTCTCTCTCACTTTTCTCACTATTTTTGTTCTTTTGTTTTTTATTCCTATTGAACAACATATTTGTACAATTAAACTAGTAGACAATCGAATTTATTCCATTAAATATCAGCATTTAGATAAATTTGACGTTTGGTGTTATTATTTTGTAATGTTACTTGTTTGAAATTTACGTTGAATACATAAAATAGCAGATAACGAGCATTTCAAATTCATTACCACTGCGTTTTTACTATTGTAAAAGTGTAATTGCATTGATTTTATTGATCAGTATTTCTTTTGTTACATCTCGATTGGAAATGGAATTGCTTACTATCGAATCGGCCTTAATTCCCAAGGGCCCTTTAACAATTATCCAATAAAGCCATAAGTCTAGCCATACGTCAGAGACGTACGGGACATATACGAATGTGCCCGTTGAGAATTTGACGTGAGGTAAAACCGCATTTGTCGCATGGCTGTCATCCAAATGCCACCTCCTCTTGTCTTGTATTACCACGCACGGATTACACAATATCCCACATATCTCACATATCGGCGTTGGCCTGGTGAAGTGCTTGTAGGAATGCTGATATCACTTTGTTTAACTCGTTCTACTCCGCCTTCGTCGGCTACTACAGAAGAAGCATTTAAATGAAATGCGTTTGAAATGCATTAGCCGAATTAAAGGACGACTCGTCTTTTGAAAATAAATCTACTAATTTGTGCATTACATAAATTAATTTTGTAGTAATATTCCAGGCTAAACGAGGGAGAACTAGCTATATGACCTGAATAGGTTGTACATTAATAAGATATAAATCATCAATTTTTATAAAAACAATTTATAAAAAAATATGATAAATTTTACTACACGATACTTTCAAATATAAAAATATTGCGTTTAAACCCTTGTAATTATCCATAATTAAAATACATTATATTTTGCATTAATGCCACGTGTTGACAAAAAACATTTTGAATATTGCCCTCGATTATAAAATCAGTCCTATTTCTTTATCCCATTAATATATGTTTATGTTGTTATATTTTTGCTTTTTAGGTCAAAATTATTATATCGCTGATACTGACTTCCATTTGAAATTCAGCGTTATGTCCATCACACGAAAAGTACATTTACCTTAAGGAATTTAAACTTCTTGTTTCTGTTTTGTTTAATAACAATGTCAAAGATTCTAATATTTCTACAAATAAAATGTTTTTCTTTTCATTCAAAGAATTGTTGATTTCGAAAGAAATGTTTTAAATCTCGAGAGGCTGGTGAAGATTAATAAAGTTTCATTCACTGCAGAAACCATTGTGAGCTGGCCGATCATTATCTCTCTATTTGGCTTAGACTTATCTGTCTATTTTTTAAAAAATCAATAGTAATGCAAAGTCTGGCCTGAGTATTTATGTGAGGTAAAAAAAGGTAAAAAAAAAGAAAAACAACTGGAAAGTGTGATCAAGTAAAGGTCACTAAACACCACACAAATTTGAATTATTTTTAAAATGTAATCAATATTCCTCAAAGAGAGGGTAAAATAAAAATACCCATACAATGATTATTCAGAAATCTTGAGATGCGGTCTGGTGTGATGTAGGTTTTAGAAAAAGCATTTCCTTTATCGTGCCAACGTTTCGATCTTTACTGTGATCATCTTCAGGGCCTGGGATTTACAAATATCGTCTAAATTTAAAAAATACATGTAGGATGTGGAAAAATTTGAATTTATACAATGCCAAAAATATTTTTTATATTCAATCAAAGTATTTTGGCACTATAAAGAAAATATTTTTCTGAAACCTACATCACACCAAACTGCATCTCACGATTTTTGAATAATCTTCAACTAACGGTCACTAATCACCACACATTTCTACCCTTACAATTTTATTATTTTATACCGTACATTAATGTAATAAAATTAAAACCTAATTAATAGATAAGTTATATAAACACAGTGTTGTGTTACATTATTTAAATCAAATTTCTTTCTTGTTATTATATATTATATAATTTATATATATCTTTATTATGAAGTAATATTTATTTTGTTGTACTTACCAAAATTAGAATTGATAAGATGCAAGGATGATAATATCTCCAGTCTCGAAAAAAATTCGTTCATCAGCCATTCACCCACAAGTTTAATATCAGTAAAGGAAAAGAATCGACGTTTGCCTCTTGATAGCCATTATACACTTAATAATTATACAATATAAATTAGTTTATATTGAAGAGATTAAAACAATATCTTATCCGAAAATTTAATGGGGTTAACATTAACTAGCAATAAATTTTTGTTAATTGAAAGTTAACAAATATCAGAAACGCTCTTAGGCCAATTTTAGTAAATATAAAGAGCCCTATTGTCATTATACATATTTATCAACAAATTAACTTTTCGCGTCACTTAAAATTGGACAGTTGAAAGAAAAATATAACATTTAAATATAATCTCTTATTGTTTCTTTTAAAATATACAGTTTAAAATACGCGCTTCTATTCAATCAACCTTAAATATTTACAAGTATATATATATTTTCATATATTTAATCAATCATCTTTATCATTAAACAGCTAAACATTTATATCAGTTTATTTTTTTACGTTTTTTACATAAGTATATGAATAAATAGCGATGACGGGCAGCCATGGAAAAACTAATTGAGAGTTATGGCCAATTAATTTTTTGTTGTTAAAGGAGTTTTTGAGGTCTGTGTTAGGTTTTGAAGGTAAACACTGATAAAAGCTGCGAATGCCTCAGGCGGGTTACGTGCTAAACAGCAGCAAGCAGACGCAAAATATTAGGCAGTAAAGATGTGAACTCCTGTGATGCGCCTGTCCACCATGCTGCATAGCTGCAGGAAATTCTGTAAAACAAAAAAAAAAGTTATTATTATTATTAACAATTTGTATTATTTTACAAACAGTAAGTAAGAAAAGATTTCACGTGCCCAGAGACACCTAGAAGGAAATATAATTACTTTTTTTATCCGTGATGATAAGGCTTGAAATGTTAACGTTATAAATAGTTAAATTCACTAATTTCGTGGTCCGCTTGACCAATTAATATATTACAATTAATTTGTTGTTTTTAGCTGAGATAAAAACATCCAAGAATCCAATCCGATTACATGACATTTGAAAAATGGCAAAAGGAGGGAAGACTCATAAGGTGGGGTTGAGATGGGAAGTTGGTGTCCGAGTGGATCGAGGTCACGATAGCTCAAGTGGTAGAGCAGCGGCCTATCTATCTAGCCGAAGATCGTGGGTTCGAATCCTGGTCGTGCCATTGACTTTTTTATCTCAACTAAAAACCTTAATTAATTGTTATAAATTGTGGTGATTTTATCTATGCGGTGGGGCCGAGGTGAAGCTGATGAAGTTTTGTTTTTTTAATACATTTTTATTTGTTTTGTTTTAGTTGGATATGAGACAATTTAAGGTTATTTTATTTATATTTACATAGTCCAAATATCATAGTTATTCTGAATCGCCCTTTTATTTCATGTTTTTTCTTGTTATTCCGTTTTAAAGATTTATATAATTTGGGGAAATAAAAAACTTTTTTTTTCCAATGATGTGTGCTTCTACTCATTTTAAACTGTAGAAATTAAAATCAATTTGCTAGAAATAAATAAAAAATTTATTTTGAGAATTTTCCTTTCATTTTATTTCAAGTTGTATTTACGAAGACATTAAATACGGAATATATTACCCTATAAATGGAAAGCATTTGTCTAATAATCTCTCCGCAGTTTTGAAATGGGAGACTCACAAGATATTGTTTTTCCATCAAGCTTTTAAAATTCTTGCACAAACATTCAGAAACTTACACACTTATTTTCAAATAATACATATTCAAACTTTGTTATTTTGATCAATGCTACTTGTTTGATTTTGTTTATTATTTGTTTTATTTTTAATTTTTTTCATTCCTTCATTTTTAAATTGTTCTGTTGCTTTATTCATGTTTTCTTTCATCTCCAGTGGATGGAATTTACCATGCACTATTATGCTTATTGTTTCATTATTTTGTTTTATATTACTGTATAACAACAAATAAAGCGCTAATAATATTATTTTTTTGTTTTGCTATAGAACAATTGATGAGTCGTTTTGTGATGAATTTTTATAAATTCATTTTCCCATTTGTTTTGTAAACAAACACCCAAACCAATTGACAAGAAAATGTTCACATTTCGTTCCTTGAATTAAAAACCTAGGGTGTAGCAAGGGTGCGATCTAAGTCGATTCTTATTTCATATAACCTTACGTCAATAGACTGGGAGAAATGCCACATTTGTGCTCTATTCTTTTTGATTTGTTATTTTAAAAAAACTAAACTGATTGAAAATAAAATGTCTTTATATCATTTCTTGAAATATTATCATAGTGGTGTCTCAAGGGTGCGTAATAGTGCTTAATAAGTCCATCTTCCTTTGATAAACACTCGCGATAGTCAATAAAACGAGAGAAATGCCACATCTCTGTTCTATTTTGCTTTCTTTCCTTGAAATATTAACGCAGGTGTGTGCAAGAGTGCGTAATTTCAAAGAAATAAATATAGACATTTTCTTTTCAACAAGGTCAGTTTTTAAGTTAACAAAGCAAAAAAGGACAGAAATATCGCATTTTCCCTTCTGTAAGGACTGTCTTAAGTTTATACCAAACAGCGATAGACTTATTACGAACCCTTGCGATTCTTCTGTATTAATATTTCAAGAAAAGAAATATAGAATTTTCTTTTCAGTTATTTTTTTTTTAATTAACAAAGCAAAAATGGATGGATTTTCCCTCATTTTATTCCAGATCGTTTGTTCACTATACAGTATACAACTATTCTAAATGATATACTACATTAATATTTCAATGTCACCTACTGTGTACAATTTAATCTCTACGTATGTATTTTTCTTTACCGTGGTATAAAAATTGTTTTTTAAAAAGTAGCCTGCCCATTAAAAGGAACAAATTTCAATTTAACCTCCCGCAAAAAATCGTGAGTGTTTTTAATTAGGTGCAATGTTTAATCATGAGGTATGTTTCTGTGTAAAGTGTTCCATCTTGTCGGTCGTGTCTACAGAAAAATTATTATGTTCTGTAACTCTTTTGATTAGTAACACAGGAATGTAAATCATTCTTCGTTTATCCAGGCAAAATAGTGGCGAAGGTCATTTCTTTTCTTTTTTTAAATTTAAGTACATAACTGTAATTATGTAGTATTTGAAGGGGTTTGTAATTAGTGAATTATTTTTTCTCTGGGTGCACTTGAATAAAACATCCGAAAAAAAATTAAAACGCGCAGTGATCTATTGGTGTAAGTAAGTACCTCAATTTACCATTTTATTAAAAAAATATATTCATTATTGAATAAAGAATGAACTTTCTAGACGGAAAGATAAAAAAAGGCGTTTTTTTGTTTTCCTTAACCAAAACATTTGATCGGCTTAAACAATCTGTTTACTCATTGTTCGAATTGATACCACAAGGATCAATATATTTATTTCATCTGTAAAATGATTTGTTTAATCTTAGCATTATTAATTTGTGTTATAACCAGTGAATCTCGGATAATTTTTAAATTTGTTTTGACACGGTGGACAAATATGTGTGTTTCATTGGTTCGTTAAATTAATCCTGTAACATGCGCGAATTTGTACAGCCGAGTGGCAAGGATAAATTAAAAGGTTTACCATTTAACACATTTAACATTTCATACAGTACAATAAAATAATTTTAAATATATATTTTAAAATAGTGAACTTCTAGAGAACTGGAGAAGTTACCGCTGATTCCAAATTAATCCAGTCATCAGCATTAAAATTCAATCCATCTACCAACCTGTCAAAGAATCTCGTTGGTTCGGGACTTATTTCCTTTGCAAATGTTTTTCCTACGAGACAAAAATCGGCTAATGGTGTTTAATGAGGCGTAAAGACAAGAAGTAACAAAGATAATGTTTCATTCACATTTATAATATTGTTTATTTTATTCTGAGATCGTGAGATGCGGTCTGGTGTGAAAAACATTTTCTTTATCGTGCCAACGTTCGATCTTTATTGAGATCATCTTCCGGCCCTGGGATTTATAAACGTAGTTTAAATTTTACAAATACTGTAGGATGTGAAAAAAATAATTTTTTATATACAATCAAAGTATTTGTACTTACTCAAAATGTTTGTTTTCTGCATAATTCATGATACACAAGAATGACACAATTACGCAGAAAATAAATACTTTGAGTGAGTACAAATACTTTGATTGTATATAAAAGATTGAATATAGAATTTTCTAGCGTTGCATAAATTCATTTTTTCCCATCCTACATGTATTTGTAAAATTTAAACTATTTTTATAAATCCCTGACCCAGAAGATGATCTCAATAATTATTGATTGTTTATTTTTATGAAACAGGGACTTTAAAAAATTCCCGGTTATATTTAAAAAAATATATGTCTGTTTAAATTATACGGGTACACTTCGAACTAGCCGGAAAAAGTTGTTGGTGAATTAGTTTATCAGTGGACCACGGTAAAAGGTTGAAAAATAATCTATTTAGTCCGTCGCCATCCAGCAAAGGAGGTTAAAATTTTCGGCCTAAATCTTATAAACCACTTATGGAGGTCCCTCACTTGCTGCATCCTTCCCGTAGTGGGAAATGCCATTTCTCCGAGATCGTGTCGTGAGTTTCACTCCTTCTAAAAAGCACGGATAAAAATTTACTATACAAAAACGTAAATGTTAAAAGTTTTCGACAATAACGTGCGATAAATATAAACTATCTCTCTAAAGTGTGTATTTCTTAAAACAAGCACATTTACTTTTACCGACCTAATGGGATTTTAATTAATAATTGATGTCCGTTACAAAAAATCAAAGTTGCTAATAAATATATATTTATAGAAAACCACTTATTTATACATATGTGTGTGTGTGTGTGTGTGTGTGTGTTTGGCAATTGTTATAGACAATTTTATTTTTGTTATAATCAGTTTACACTTTTATTCTATTTATTATATGAATGTGTTAAGTTTTAGACTGTGTAGCATTAAATTTACCTAGCTGAACATGTGTTCGCTCTCAGCATGGGAGAATTATTCAACAGGCTAGGGCTGTGGAACTCCTTCAACTTAGTGTTAAGTTTCTTCCTTGTCACATTCGGGCTTTTCTCCCCGCCTTGGCTACTCCGAAAGAAAAGTGTCTTGAAATATTCGATTTGGCAGTTATTATAATTAGTATCCTTGAAAACGCCAACTTTTCAAATCGTGCCAATAACAGGCGGAGTGATGTAAAGGGAGGAAAATAAAGAGCCGAGAGGAAGAATTTGGTATGAATATTACTGAACAAACTGCCTTCGAGGCTAAGTTTGACGCAAGGCAGAAGGGCTTTTCGACACTGGCAAGTTCTAAATGGATGGTGGTCTGAAGCTAGAGTTCTGATCCAGGGTAAAACTTTGCGACTTATAGAAGTCAAATATTGACCCATCTCTTCCAAAGTGACACTTTTGAATTCAGTGTAACTTTGCGTCTTTAATTATTACGCTTTTTATAAATATTTACTGAATTTTTCTTGACGCGCTTTCACATGGTGATTAACTGATTGCAGAATATTACTAAAGTGAACTGCTTTATTTATCAATTTGCTATATGCGTCCAAACATGTGTAGGGATTTAAAAACGTCAAGATTTGAAATCGGAAAGATTAGAATTGCTCTGTTAACGGGAAATGACAAGTCGTTTTCAATTTGTGAGCGAATGTCGAAAATGGAAGTGGGCGGCCGAATGTTATCATTTGGTCGTTGCTAACAACCTTTTGATGATAGCAGTTGTTACACCATTTCTGGCTTTCAATTTCCGCCCCCGGGTCACCGAATCTCGTCCAACAATAAGGCTGGTCCGAATGCCGGCCGTTTAAATAATAACTCGGCAAACGAGCGGGGTTTTTCCACGTTCAGTCCATCGTATAAGTGCAAATTCGAGCGTGAATTAAGTTTTTGTCAGCTTGGACGGAAAAAAGGTCTGGGCCGGAAATTCCGATATGTCAGCCTGGCAGAAACGGACCTTATCGCGTGTCGTACAGGGAACTTTTCTCATATTTATGCCCAGACACTTGTTTATGTTGCAACATCATGTTATTATTACTTTTTGAAAGGCCTCTAAATATATTCAAGTATCAACAGAAACATGCAGTATTGTTGAGGGAAGGGACTTCAGATATATTAATCTAATAGAACTTCATCATACAACGCAAATAATTTCAATTTCTGTTTTACAATTTTTATTACTTTTATTTTTAACAATGGGCTAAAGGGTAAAAAACTAAATTTAGCTTTAATTAATCAATTTTTGCTAAAAATTTATAAACAATGAATGGACATTTACTAATGAAAATTTTTGAAGATATTAGGGGTATTCACGATGTTTGTAAGATGTTAACTCAAATAGAGAAATGTCCAGTAAGATCGTGAACGCTTCTTTTCTTACCATGTTAAACGTTAATTTTTCAGCAATGCTGCGCGTGGCGATTGGTAGAACCAAAAATAAAGCTATAACAGTCCTTCAATGCTTGTTGTTATTTGTTTTGGTTTTCTTTTGTATTAAATAGTAAGATACCAGAAGTTAATAAAAAAGGAAAATTAATCAACTCTTTCATTCAAAATGCTATCTATGCACTGGAAGAGTACTAACAAATGACACGCTTCAATTCGTGCTGACAAACCTAACTTGTACCCTAACATCTAACTGCCTTCAACTTTTTATGATAGGGGATGTATCTATTATGAATGAGAGTATAAGGACAGGCCAAAAATTAACAAAAGAAATGTAATGTTCTGATTTAATTAACGCGTATTTAAGAATAAAAATACGTGTAAACAAAAAACAGCTGTTAAATTCATGGCTGCTATGTTGGTTACCTACGCACTAACGGATAGCAGTGACTACATTTTCGACCTGACATGTAACTCCATTCATTAGTTTTCGTGGTCCGCTTGACCAATTAATATCTTTCAATTAATTAAGGTTTTTAATTGAGATAAAAAAAGTCAGTGACACGAGCGGGATTTGAACTCACGACCTTCGGCTAGGTACGCCTTTTTTTTTGATACCAGGGACTTGAGGAGTTCCCTCCTGAGCACTGCAGCTGAGCAGTACAGCTTATTGTACTTTATTCCTGGCTCTATATTTTGGGGGAGGGCTGGCAACACAAATGTGAACTTGAGCCCCCGTTGTACCGGTGTTCTTCCATCGAAGAAACTCATTTTTGAAGGAGGTTGGGACCAAATTCAGAGTCACTGAGATCCGATCCCGCTTCTTCCATTGATGGGTGCCGTATCAGTTTCTTTCAATTGCGGCACCGGTCCCCTTTGGCGTCAGAAAAAGTCTAGAGGCGACGGTGGGAATTGAACCCACGACCGCGGGATCTACTAGCCGAGAGTCTGACGCCTTAACCATTCGGCTACCGCGGCCCTCCGAGTACGCCGTTACTCTACCACTTGAGCTATCGTGACCTTCATCCACTCGACACTAACTTCGTATCTCGACCCCTCCTTTTGAATTTTCCCTCCTTTTTGCCACTTTTCAAATGTCGTATAATCTATTTGATTCTCGGGGACAAATGGATCGAGTCAGTCGAGTCCGAGTGGATCGAAGTCACGATAGCTCAAGTGGTAGAGCAGCGGCGTAACTAGCCGAAGGTCGTGGGTGATACTGACTTTTTTATCTCAACTAAAAACCTTAATTAACTAACATATAACATTCGCCCTGTCCTGTTAGATCGAGAATGTTAACTAGCCGATTCTTACAAGTCTACGTCATCATTTTTCTCGATCTAGCAGGACCTAACAAACTTTACAGATTTAACACAAAGATCATGAATACCCCTATTATTCGAATGTTAGTACTTATGGAAATGGAGGGTACAAATAGGTTTAAATAAATTCAATACAGCTTTAATAAGAAAAAGAAAGAAAAATGCTTACCGTTCAGGACGTGTACGTTGATGGACTTGGATTGTGCATTGGAAGGGTTACACTGGTATCTCCCAGAATCATTAGGGTTCGCTTTTTGAATCAGCAGGAAGCTTGTTGTCGTTTCTCCCTTTTCTGTTATTACGCTAACTCCACCTCGTGGGGAGTCGTAACTAATTATCTGAAACAAAAGAAGAATAATGAAAATTGGGAAATCCAGCGAGTGAAAAACAAAGGAAGGTTTGAATCAAATGAGACAAGATAATGAAAACGTAACATTGAGATATTTTTAAAAATTAGACATACAATTAAATTTTAATTTTATAACAAAAAAATACGAGATACTAACGCTGTTGCATTTTAAAGCATGTAAGGATGTTGTATACTTTTTTGAACAAAACAACAACTAATGTCTGAGGATAAAATCCAAGGGTAATTCCCTGTAAACTTCGTCACCGGCAATTAGTTGAACAAATATTAAAAAGTAACCCAAGGTATTGTGTAATAACGTTTAAACGAGCTTAGTGGTAACGGAGGTGTGAAATGTAACATAATATCCTCGGGCTATGGTATTAGCAAAATAATAAAGCTTAGATGAGCGGTATTCAGATTATCACGTAATAACACGCCAAATTCCAACTTAATCTGAGGATTTATGCGATGGCCTCACCAAATGAAGTAGGACGTGTATTAAGACTTATGCTGAGAAATATTAAACTCCGAAGGAAACACGTGACGATTTCAGACATGGGATATTACCCCTATGCTTCTACTTCAGCATAAAACGTTATCATACTTCTAATACTTTCGATGTTAGAAAGATTAAATTCCCTAATAAAGGTTCAGTTTGTCTTTATAATAAGCCTTCAAATGTAATTCTTTTTTATCTCGATATCACAGAAAGAATTAAAAGAACGGGACAACTTATTACGACCAGAGGAATCATCCTCACCCATTTAACAATGTATTGAAAAAAGCAAGAAGTTTTTCTTTGTGTGCAACTTAGCGAGGATATAATCTGCAGTATCCATAGTATACCATGACCTGGATGGTCACTGCAAGAATGGGAGGGTTGAGTATATTTTTAATTACTAATCTATAAACCTGAGAGTAGGTTATAAAATAAGTTTTTTCTTATCAACTAGTTAGGTAGTTATATCATAAACAAAAATTCCTACGTAAATATTATGAATTATTGGCAATAAGAGATTAGTTAACTATCTCCAACGAATTATTAACGACCTAACTCATAATTGGAGAAACAGGAAGTGGAAGACCTGTTTAAAATCTGTTAAAACTAACGACAACTCAATATGGAACGTAGTTAAAATATTCAGAAATAAAAAAGACAGTCATGAAACGCAATTTTTGTTCGATGTTACACTAAGGAAAAATGAGACGGAAAAGGTCGGAAAAGTGGGTGAATACTTCTTCTCAGTTCACCGTCTAACTACAAATCAATGACCCAAATTTCTTGAAAGGTTTAACTCTAAAAGTGTAGAAAACTACTTGGTGCGTACGACCACCGTCGCTTCCCTGTTTTTCCTGAAGAGATAAAATCCATTATAAGGTCCCGTCGAAGTAGGAAATCTCCTGACTTTGTCTTGATTACAAATACGTGCTAAAGATCTTACTAGTTTATCGTCTTTTTAGTTCATTGTTTTTTCACGGTCACTTTCCCGTACTGGAAAGAATCCAAGGTCATATACATAAAGAAACCTGGAAAGTCACCAGCAAATTCTACTAGTTATAGACCTATCAGCCTTTTCAGAACAATTGGCAAAATTTTTGAAAAAATATTAGTCACTCGTATAAACCGTCACCTCTTCTCCAACAACACAATTTCTGAATGCCAACATGGGTTTCGTCTGGGACTAAGCACAACAACTCAATTATCCAGAGTTGTCAGTCAGTGAATGCATCCAAAATTTCCAAAACCTGGATAAACACAACAACCTGATGGAATCTTGGGTGCCAGGGCAAAGGGGAATTTTGGGTAACCAGAAAGCAGACAGACTGGCAAAAGGAAGATCTGCAAGACCATACATAGGTCCCGAACCTATACTTGGGATAACAAAAATAAATATTGAATCCTCCATCGCAGAATGGATCCAAACAAAACAAAAGGAGAAGTGGATAAACTCTAGCGGTGCTAGACATAGTAAACTTATGATGAAACAACCCACACCAAGACTGGCAAAAGCATTGCTGCACTTGGAGAGGGCTAAATTCAGAGTAGTGGTAGGACTACTAACCGGTCATTGGCATCTGAGAAAACATATACACAACATGGGTATATACAACGATGATCTCACTTGCAGAGTATGTAATAAGGAGGAAGAAACAGCCACTCATATCATCTTCGATTGCGAAGCAACAGCTCAGTGGAGATTTAACCTAATGTACGACAAAAACTTAGGGAATCAATTTGCAGCAGTGAAAGTCAATGACCTGATACTTCCAAAGAGAAGGATTGAGTCTATTGCATTTAACTAAGGAACAAGGAAGGTGCAATAAGCCAAAAGGCTACAGTGCCTGGGGAACGCAAACCCCGCTTCCTAGTATGCTTTTTACCATACCATACTAGAGTTGTCGATCACGTGATACAAAATTTTAATTTAAAAAAAACACAGGGGGATAGTTTTGTTTCACATGGAAAAGGCATTTGATACGGTTTGGCACAAAGGAATTGTCTATAGGTTTATAAAAGACCAATTCCCAAGGTACATTGCCAGAGCTACACAAGTAATGTACAGGGCCTACAAACAATTCAAAATAAATTTTTAAGTTTAATAACATCCTCTAAAAGAAGTGGTCCTATAAGCCATACGCATGAAATTTTAAACATCTCATACATTAAGGAAGACATCAAAAGGTTAACTAGCTCCTTTTTTGAAGCGCTGAGAGTACAAATACGACAGTAAATAATGTAGGAAACTATAACCTCAACAAAAATTGGAAACCCAGAAGGATCAAACACATTTCATTATGACTGAATATAAACTCCTGCTCAAAATTAACGCACCACCTTAATTTTTAAACAGAAATTCTTTTTAGAGAAATCCAGCTAAATCTCTTCATGTTTATTCTCTTTTTTATGCTTCACAATCCCACAAAAGTAAACAAGAATTGTTTACAATCGTGTTAATCCGCTTTGAAATGGATTTGGTAAGATACACAAGAGTTTCCTCCTGGTTTATTCCTCAGTTTCACTGCATCTGCTTAACAGACACCATTTCTTTTGGAAGTTTAAACTTNTTATTATTTACTAAATTATTTATTAATTTATTTATTTACCAAAGAAATGAGTAATTATATTAGTCTAGTCAATGATTTTAATTTATTATAATTAGAAATTATTAATTAACTTGCTTACTTAATAATTTATTTATGATAATAGTTATTACTAAAGTAAATGTGTTGTTATTAAACTTATCTATTGTTCATGTCTAGTATTTTTTATTAAATGGCTTATTTATTAACTTATTAATGTAAATGTTTATCTCTTGATGGAAATGCGTAATTATTTAACTTAGATAATATACAAGTCTAGTCAAACTGTGTACGAAGCCTATTATAATTATAATTTATTTAATCTGACTGCAAGTGGTTTTTATAATAATTGTTCAACACTGTTCTTCATTTCTTTATACCAAATTAGCAAAAATTGTAAATATATTTAAGTCCTCTGCCACAAGGATGTTACAATGTCGTAGACATTTCCCCTTTTATTTCACTTTTTTACCAAATGTATGGAAAATTATATATTAAATAAATAAACAATACAATTGGCAATATACTTCTTTTTTCTTTTTTACATAATTTTAAATAGTTTTTGATTTAAAAACGAGTTTTGAAAATAATGTTTAAAAATAAAAGGTCAATGTAATTAATACAAAATTGAATTTTTATTTAATAAAAGCGTGTTTGTATTAATGGATTAGTGGTCTTTATGTTCAGATATCTTTATCATGGGCTTGAGCAAAAGGAGAAAAGAACTTCCGTGTGCTAAGTTTTACGCCTGAAATCATGCAATCGCGTTCTTAACGCAGGGAGAAAAAGAAATATTCAAAGGAGGTATATTGGTGGGGTTTGTGCCTCACGGAGACACTTTCCAAACGCCGCCCAAGTTAATGTTATGTACAAACTGTGTGCCCTCTTGGCGTTTGACGTTAATATTCTTGCAGGTATTCATACGGGGTAAACACAGTTTGTATTCAGCTTTAGAGCGGAATTAAGCCGAGTGCAGAGGCTCACAAACTAGCAGCGAACATGCCGAGGCGTTGTAAACTCTTTTATGTGATCTTAGGTTCTAATAAACGAGAATAAAGCGGCGTAATCATCGCCTTTTTTACACCAACAACCGCAATTTTATGCTCGGGTTTCGTTCTATATTAAATTTTTAACCGCACCTTGCTTTATATTTTTACTGTAACTAAATAGTTTTGCGCTTGTGTAAATACCCGGATTTAACATGTTCACCGGTGAAATGCCGGGTGAGATGGTTTCGCGATGACAACGTGTTTACTCATCATATTTTCGTAACGTGAGACACAACTTTAGTAAACATCGACGGTTCACCAGGATGAATTCAGTTACAATTTAATTAGAGAACGGCGGTTGAACAACATTGGTAATTATTAAACAACACAGCCTAATTACGTGGGCACATGTTTGCCTTTGACTAAGTTCAAAGTGAAATAGGAAAAACATTTACCCAACTTTAACATTAACAAAACTATTTTTTTATATTCATAACAAGGTCTCGATCATCTGAGACACAACCATTTAACATTATTATTGTATGTTTAAGTTTAGGAAATATAATATAGAAGGTTATAACTCAAACAGAAAAATAATAACAATAACAAACTCAACAGACACCCAGAACTCAACATCTACACAGAAAACAAACACTTTCAGTGAGTACTAATACTTGGATTGAGTCTAAAATTTCTAGCATTATATAAATTCACTTTTTTCACAGCCAACATGTATTTGCATAATTTAAGCAATGTTTATAAATCCCAGTGAAGATGATCTCAATAAAGATGGAAGAGGCGTGTCATGCCTTGGCTCCATACAGAGAGCGTGTAGGCATGCCGCCCGACTTAAGAAGAGTTCTCGAACACGGTAGTGAGTTTCATAGTCCCCTGTTCTGCTTGTTAGGGGAAATTGAGG